AGATGTGCTCCCAAGCAGGGCTGGCCTTACCATAAGGCGAACTGAGGCAGACGCCAGACTGTGGGGGGGGCACCACTAGGACCCAGAGTGTAGAACATTGTGTCTACTGCAGGTGCATATGTATTCTCTCTGCTCTAGATGCACAGAGATGGTGGAGTGCTGTGCTGGAGGAAGGAGGGCACAAGAGACATAACAGGCAGGCAGGAGAAAAAGGGGAGAGGGAATAACAGAAAGCAGCAGGAGCTGCAGGTAGAGAGAGGAGGAGGAGCCTCTTATGTACCTCTCCAGCACCCCCAGGAGCCTGGACTGATTCACACCAGCTTCTCAGGGAGCTTCCTGTTTCCTGCTGCTTCTCTGAACCCACTTGAGGAGAACAGGCAGTCAACTGAAGTAGTAGGAGCCAGTTAGGCCCTTAGACGCTGGTATCTTCCCTCACTCAGGCCCTGCTACCAGCCTGCTTATTTGTCCCCTTCAACTGAGTGTTGAGAGCCACTCTAGCTGGCACAGAACAGCAGTCATGAGTGAAAGAAGAAAGCGCCCCTCTGGGGCAGCATTCAGAAAAAAGCAAGCAAGCAAAGGAAGCTTTTCTATCTAAGCAGGAAGGAGCTCTCCTGAGATACATAGACACAAATGTTCATGGTGAGCCTTCTGGCCCCAGTGAGGAGATGCCTGATCATAGACTCATAGAATATTAGGGTTGGAAGGGACCTCAGGAAGTCATCTATCTAGTCCAACCCCCTGAACCAATCCCCAGACAGATTTTTACCCCAATTCCCTAAATGGCCCCCTCAAGGATTGAACTCACAACCCTGGGTTTAGCAGGCCAATGCTCAAACCACTGAGCTATCCTGATCTTCCAGTTAGTCAGAGTGCAGGGGACCTGGCAGCTACTGCAGCATCCATATCTCCATCTCAAATGGATGTAACCATGCACATTCCTGAAGAAAAGTGTAGATCAGAGAAGAGTGTGATGGAGGTGCAAGAAATGGCTGCTGCTGAGTTTAGTTCCTTAAGTCTAGATGATCCAGGACTGTGGATCCACTTGAACAGTAGCCTGAGGGACTTCCTTGTACTGCATGGGCCACAGCAAGTGAAAAACTTCATGTTCCCCAAAGACAATGAAAATAGAAGTTTCCATCCAACAAATTACTGGCGTGAAATCCCCAATGATGACAAAGTGGAGAGGCCATGGCTTATGTACTCAAAAACCCAGAATGCTACATACTGTTTTTGTTGCAAACTCTTCCAGTCTAATGTTCCAGCCACATTGGGTTCTACAGGAACAAAGGACTGGAAAAATCTGGCTCGAAATCTGGCATGCTATGAGAAGGCAGCAAATCACCAGAGAACATTCCATAGGTGGAAAGAGCTTGAGATGAGACTAAGGTTAAAGGCCACCATAGATCATCAGCATCAAGAGAAGATTGCATCAGAGTCTCTTTACTGGCAAAACGTTCTGAAAAGGCTCATTGCCATTGTGAGAATGCTTGCTACCCAAAACCTAGCACTGCAGATCAGCTGTATGTGCCAAACAATGGAAACTTCCTTAAAATTGTGGAGCTGATGGCTGAGTTTGATGCTGTACTCCAGGAGCATCTAAGAAGAGTCACCACCCAAGAAATGTCCACCCAACACTACCTTGGAAAAACAATTCAAAATGAGATCATACAGTAACTGGCAGCAAAAGTCAAACAGAAGATTGTTGCAGATCTGAAGTCAGCAAGATATTACTCTGTTATTCTGGACTGCACACCTGACATCAGCCATAGGGAACAAATGACTTTAATGGTGCGTTTTATAACAACAACAGAACCTAGTGAAAATGTCCCTGCAATGGTGACTGTCAGAGCATTTTCTAGAATTTATTGACATTAATGATACTACAGGAGCTGGTATGACAAATGTGCTTCTTAAAAAGCTGGAAGATATGGAAATTGCGATAGCTGACATGAGAGGTCAGGGCTACGATAATGGTGCCAACATGAGAGGAAAGAACAGAGGAGTGCAGACACGGATCCGAGTTAAACCCTTGAGCTTTTTTTGTCCCATGCAGTTCTCATTCATTGAACTTGGTGTTCAGTGATGGAGCATCACCTTCTAGTGAGGCTGCTGAATTTTTTAATGTAATTCAAAGCATCTATGTATTTTTCTCTGCATCAACTCACCGATGGCAAATTTTGAAGCAACATCTGGGAACATCCTCTCTGACACTGAAACCACTGAGTGCCACATGAGTCGAGTGGAGACGACAAAGCCTATCAAACACCAAATTGGGAAGATAGATGATGCCATAGTTGCCATTATGGAGGCTAATGCTATGACAGGAACCGTTCTTGGGAAAACAGTGGCAGAGGGAATGGAAAGCTGGCTAGATCGTCGGGCTCAATGGGTAGTGATCAATGGCTCCATGTCTAGTTGGCAGCCGGTATCAAGCGGAGTGCCCCAAGAGTCAGTCCTGGGGCTGGTTTTGTTCAATATCTTCATTAATGATCTGGAGGATGGCGTGGACTGCACCCTCAGCAAGTTTGCAGAGGACACTAAACTGGGAGAAGTGGTAGATACGCTGGAGGGTAGGGACAGGGGCGGCTCTCGCTTTTTTGCCACCCCAAGCATGGCAGGCAGGCTGCCTTCGGCGGCACACCTGCGGGAGGTCCCCGCTCCCGCAGCTTTGGCGGCATGCCTGCAAGAGGTCTGTCAGTCCCGTGGCTTCAGCGTACCCGCTGCTGAATTGCCACCAAATCCGTGGGACCAGCGGACCTCCCGCAGGCATGCCGTTGAAGGCTGCCTGACTGCCGGCCTCACAAGGGTTGGCAGGGTGCCCCCCACGGCTTGCTGCCCCAGGCACGTGCTTGGAGCGCTGGTGCCTGGAGCCGCCGCTGGGTAGGGATAGGACACAGAGGGACCTAGACAAATTAGAGGATTGGGCCAAAAGAAATCTGAAGAGGTTCAACAAGGACAAGTACAGAGTCCTGCACTTAGGACCGAAGAATCCCATGCACGGTTACAGCCTAGGGACCTAGTAAGCAGTTCTGCTGAAAAGGACCTAGGGGTTACAGTGGATGAGAAGCTGGATATGAGTCAACTGTGTGCCCTTGTTGCGAAGAAGGCTAACGGCATTTTGGGCTGTATAAGTAGGGGCATTGCCAGCAGATCGAGGGACATGATCATTCCCCTCTATTCGACATTGGTGAGGCCTCATCTGGAGCACTGTGTCCAGTTTTGGGCCACACACTACAGGTCTCAAGTTGCAGTGGGGGGAGGTTTAGGTTGGATATTAGGAAGAACTTTTTCACTAGGAGGGTGGTGAAGCACTGGAATGGGTTACCTAGGGAGGCGGTGGAATCTCCTTCTTAGAGGTTTTTAAGGTCAGGTTTGACAAAGCCCTGGCTGGGATGATTTAGTTGGGAATTGGTCCTGCTTTGAGCAGGGGGTTGGACTAGATGACCTCCTGAGATCCCTTCCAACCCTGATATTCTATGATTCTATGATGAATCACCAGAAACATACATAACTTCAAATTTCTGTGTGGCTTAGTGTTGTGGCATGACATACTGTTTGAAATAAATGTTGTAATCAAGAGACTCCAAGGTGTTGATCTTGATATGTCTGGAGCAATGGAACAACTGGACAAAGCAAAGTCTACAGTCTTACCGGTCAGATGAGGGATTTCAAAACATTCTGAAGAGTGCACAGAAGTTGGCAGAGGAAATCCATACTGAAGCTATTCTCCCACCCATTCAAGAATACAAGAGTCACTGAAGAAGACATTTTGATTACGAGGTTTGGGGTCTCTGATGAGATTATCCCATGCAACAATTCAAAGTTGAATTCTTTAACCAGGTGATAGATTGTGTGATACAGTCAGTTGAAGAACGTTTCATGCAGCTCAAGGAACACAGTAGTATATTTGGGATGTTGTATGATATTCCAAAACTCCTCACTATACCTGAAGAAGACCTACACCAGCAATGCCGGGCACTAGAGACAGTAGTGACACATGATGACATGCGTGATATTGATGCAAGTGATTTAGGTGATGAACTGAAAGCCCTTTCAAGATACATTTCAGCAGGATCAACTCCGAAGGCTGTTCTGGAATATACATGCACAAATAAGACGACCTCCCTCTTTCCAAATGCTTTTGTTGCTCTGCACATACTTCTAACACTTCCTGTAACAGTTGCCAGTGGAGAACGCAGCTTTTCCAAGCTGAAGTTAATAAAAACACATCTACGCTCCACAATGACACAGGAGAGGCTGGTCGGCCTCGCAACCATCTCAATAGAGCATGAGCTGGCCCAGACTGTGGACCCTCAGGTAGAACAGGAAGAAGGCAGAACTGAGACCTTTCAAAGTTTTGGCCCAAGCGAGGGGGCATGGGGGCATCATTTGAACTCCCGCCTCAGGTGCCAAAATGTTGTGGGCTGGCCCTGCCCCCGAGAGCCCCCAGTGTCAGGGAGCTGGCATACTGCCCCTACCGCTGGCATAGGGGGCATGCAGGGCGGTGCCCAGAGTGTCCTGCGGCTATTCTGTGCCCTCGGAGGCCACAGAATAAGCCCAAGGTAGGGCAGCCCTCAGGCTGCTGCAACATGCATGGAGGCCAGGCGGGCGGCAGGGGGTTAATGCCCACTTTGGCCCCCTCCCCCCCGGGCCCCAGGCACAGGGGAACAGAGACTTGTGCCCTCCCATGCCGGGAACCCAGATGCCCTGGTGAGGGGCACGGCGCTCAAACCCAGCCTGAAAGGGGTGGGGGCCTAGCTGTGGTGATGTTACCCCGAGTGCCCCAGAAGGGAAGGATTGCCCCCAAACTCTCCAGAAAGCAAAGGCTGGGGGAGCTCCCCCCATCCCAGGGGTATCCAGAATAGAAACATCCCCCACCCATCATGCCCGCCTCCAGCTCCTGCCCCAGCACTGGGAGAGCTGCCTGGATCCCCCCGCGGGGTCCTTGGGCAATTCTCAGGGCAGAGTTGGGCCCCGGACCATGTGGGGATGCGTCCTACCTTTCCCTGGGGCTTCGGCCCTTCCCAGCTCCTCATGTCCAAGGACGGTGGCACCTGGTAGATGTCCTGGCCCAGCCCCGCAGCTGGGGGCACCTGGTAGATCTCCTGCGGGGGGCTGGTGGAGATATCCGGGGTGTGGCTCAGCGACGGAGGCACCTGGTAGATGTCCTGGCAGGTGTGGGGCGGCGGCTGCTTTGGATACGTCAGCGGCTGCTTGGCCGGAGGTGAGGGGAAGGGCGCCCCTGGCGCAGAGCCTGGGTAGAGGCCCGGCTGCCCCTTGCTTGGGGCTGGGATCAGGTAGATGCTGTCCCCTGGCGGCCGGGCGGTGGGGTGCAGCGGGTGCTGGTGGGAGGGTGGCTGCCCTTGGCCAGGCCCTGCCTGCTGCTTTTTGTCATACATGCCCACCAGGATCTTCAGGCGGTTGCCGGGCACAATGCCCTGGCGCCCATGCAGCGAGCAGAGCCACCAGCCATCCAGGCCCTGCGTGTTGCGCTCCAGCACTGTCATGATGTCACCCTTACGGAAGGAGAGCTCATCCGGGGACTCGGACACGTTGTCGTACAGCGCCTTGGCCAGCACGTTCTGGGGGGGGGGACAGACGAGGGAGGGTGAGTCAGCCGCACGGGGACCCTACCCTTCTGCCTCTTGGCCCCCATGCCACCTGTACCGCTCAAGGCTGTTGCTGGGGGAGGTGGGTGCGGGACACCGAGAGACCTTGGCCTTCTCTCCCCCAGTGCTGTATGGACTGAGCCTGCCCCTCCCAAAGCAGTGAGGCTGGGACGGAAGGATCCCCAGCTACAGCTTCCCACCCCAGCGCCTGCAAAGCGGCCACAGGTGTCCACTGCTACCAGGCTCCCCTGAGAGCTGGAAGGTCCCCGGGTGATTCCCGCCCTGAGCGATATCCTCAGAGCCCATGCGGCCGGCAAAAGGCCTTTGTGGCAGCCCTTCGCGAGAGGACCCGGCATGGTGACACTGGGTGGCCCGCGGGAACTGCAGGGTCAGCCCCCAGCCAGCAGCCCCGGTCCAGAATCCCGTGCACACAGTCCAGCCACACCCCAGCAGGACAGAGACGGGCTAGTGCTCAGGCTGTAGGGCTGCCCCTGTGGATGAGCGACCCTGGTCAGAAACCTACTGGCTGGGCTCCGTCAGCATCTCCCAGCGCCTGCCTGCGTCCCCCCACCCTGCCCTGCGCTCTACTAAACCCCCACCGGGCGCGATGCAGCGGGTGCCAGAGATCTGCTGGGAGACAAGCAAGGCGTGTGTCGTGCCTGCCCCTTAACGGGACACTGCCAGCTTACAATAGGGTTACCATACGTCCGGATTTTCCCGGACATGTCCGGCTTTTGGGGGCTCAAATCCCCGTCCGGGGGGAAATCCCCAAAAGCCGGGCATGTCCGGGAAAATCGGGAGGGCTCGGTGGTGCTCGGCCGGGGCCGGCGGTGCGGGGCCGGGGGCATGGTGCCGGGCCGGGAA